GAAGAGCTAATAGACGCCAGGAACAGTTGTGCAAGTACAGGAGGAAATTGCACTCAGCTGGCGGTCATGAGGCTCCTCTCCAGACTATAAAAGGACTGCTTGTGCACACACCCCTCTTGCAGAAGTCAACACAGGAATCAGTGTCGGAGAACATTATTGTGAGCTTGGCAAGCTAGATTGCTGCCACGGCTTATCTGTGCTGAATTGCTGCCAAGGACCTGTCTGTCTGTTAATTAAATGCCGTAACCTATCTTTGGCTCAGTGTGTGTGTTGGTGTGGGACGAGGGGGGTCAGAACAGGTCACTAAACAAATGGTTGTAAGCCGATGACTATCTCTACTTACAAAATAATAAAGGTGGGATAAAAATCAAACCAATAAATAAAAATGTATATCGTGTCGCCTGTAAACAAAGTAGCAAGCAACTTCACTAACTGTTTACTACATTCAAATGAGTTTTCTCATTAGTGCAAAACTGAAATTCAGGAAAATTATGCATAGGTGAACCTATTGCATGATATACCAATATTGTTCCTATGTTTATCAATAGTGCAGAAAAAACACGTATATGATAACTGACTAACCCTAAGCCTTAAAACATCCTAGTTTGGTCTTCCCAACTTTTTTTTGATCCTTCAAGAATATTGGAATAGAGCTCCTATCATCTCTAGCCAGCACTATCAGTAAAAATACTGCAGTGAGTAATTTTGGGCCATTCACTACCTTTTTACTAGATAGGATTGTGGTTGTGGGGAAAATGAGGAAGGAATGCACATTTCCTTCAGCTCTTAGTAGAAAGGTAGGACATAAATCTAACAAGTTAAAGGAAACATTAGTTTTGTAATTGTAATTATGCTGCTTAACTTGTTTTTATTGCCTGTCATCTATAACTTTGGCTTTGTTGCCTGAAATTTATATGTTTTGTGTGGGAACGACATGTAACTGTACTGTGTAGCAAGCCTTTTATGAAAAAGAATATGTCACCTGTGGTGTGAATGTTGGAACTACAGGTGTTTATCTCACTGTTAGCAAGCTGATTTATGCAATAAGTTAAGATAACCTTTATAGTCGCTTTTTTCTGTGAACCCACTGGCACAAATTAAAAAAAAATGAAGTTCTGATGACCACTCTCAAAACACACAGACACACAAAATAACATAGCAGAAAAAGGAGTCTTGAGGATTAACAAGGTTGATACTATATGGCAGTGTTTCTCAACCTTGGCAACTTGAAGATGTCTGGACCTCAACTCCCAGAATTCCCCAGCCAGCATTCGCTGGCTGGGGAATTCTGGGAGTTGAAGTCCAGACATCTTCAAGTTGCCAAGGTTGAGAAACACTGCCATATAGTATCAACCTTGTTAATCCTCAAGACTCCTTTTTCTGCTATGTTATTTTGTGTGTCTGTGTGTTTTGAGAGTGGTCATCAGAACTTCATTTTTTTTTAATTTGTGCCAGTGGGTTTACAGAAAAAAGCCACTATCAAAGATTTCTTAACTTATTTCATAAATCAGCTTGCTAACAGTGAGATA